GTTTGCTCTGAGACATTCTGGGTAAGCAATATCCATTCTTTTGGGACTTGAGCAGTTTTCTAACTTGCAGTGAGAAATCCTTCAAAGATGTATATCTACAAATAATGCCTTTTAGGAGGGAAAATCTTAAAAGAATCTAATTTTAAAAAATACCAGTGAGTTCATTTTTTGTTCATGTCTTGCAATGCTGTCTGTGTTAACCACATCACCTGTTTACTCGTGCCGGCCAGATCGGACTTGCCGTGTAACCTAGTTGCTCTGTTTAATGTGCATGGAATACCCAAAACCCAGCAGCCTCAGTGAGAAGTGGGACCTCTGTAAACTGGCTGCACGCAGTTTCGTACATAGTCTGTACAATCAGCTGCAGGCTCCCTGGTGCCCACCATGGATTCTGCTCCAGGCCCTGTTCTCGGTGAGCGCTGGGCTGTCCCACTGCTCCTGCATAGCCCCAGTCCAGGCCTGCCGTTACAGGTCCTCGTGTCCTCAGGTGTGCTCGCTGGTACCTGTGAATTAGAGGATTAGCTTGTACGCCGGAAAGGGATTTGAAATGTCTGGAAAACAGCTTTGGGCTACACTGGCATGCGATGAAGTAAAACGTAGACAGCATAAGATTGTGGGCTCTTCAAATTGCATCTTCTTGTGAGTTAAGGGATAAACACAAGTTACTAAGAGGTCCCCTCTCTTGTAGGTTGGTACGCTGGATGTCTTGGTTGGCTTGTCAGATGAGCTGGCTAAACTGGACGCGTTTGTGGAAGGGTAAGGTACTCGTGTGTCGCTGGGCTGCCTGACACTGCTGATTGGTTTAGGGAATAAGGGCTTTTTCTTTGTAAATCCATTTTATGGAGGTATAACTTAGATACAGTGAAATGCTCGCCTAAGATGTGAGAAATACTCTTTTCAATGTCTTTACTGAGCCAGGTTTTACATGCTGTGCAGCTCACCTGGTTAAAGTATGCAGTATTTTTTCCTACAGCCACAGAGGCATGTGTATTCTTCCTCGAGGAAATGTCTCTTTGGCACCTTTGCCCACTTAATTGGTTCTTTTATCTTTCATTATTGAGTTATAAGCCATTCTTTACATATTCTAAGTCCCTTAACAGCTATGGCTTGCAGATATTTCTTTAAATTCTGTCCAGTTACTACTTTTTTTTTGTTTTT